ACCCTTGTACATCGAATCTTTTTCATATTTCTTCAGAAGCACAGATAATATAGGACCCTGTTTTTGCATGACTACATATGCATGGAAAGGTCATAGCCCCACCCCACCCCAAGCCACTGTTCTCGATCCACAAGTAACCCTAGGTGTGCTGGGGTGGGGCAGGGAAGGTGGTGAGTCATCGTGGCTCTGGGCTCCATGGGTGAACATCCTGGGTTCACATCTATACACAACTGTGGCTGGAAGATTTTTACTAAACTTCCCCCATGGTAGTGGCAAATCTATGCTAAAATCCAGGGACGATGCCATCCCTCTGCAAGACTTTTCTTGTGCTTGATATTCTTGCCTATGGGCTTCTTCTTTCCACAATATTCTCCTTGATCACACATACCTGCAGGAGGCCCTAAAGAAAACATCTACCCTACAAGGGTAATCACCATCAGTGACACAGCCAGCCAAACCAGAACCCCTTTCACTCTCAAGATAATGTTCCCCATGGCCTTCTTTACCAAAAGTCCTCTTGTCATTCAAAATCCACTCTCCTGATAATAAAAAACCGGAAGTCATTCTTCAGCTCTGCTGCTCTTTTCTCTTTCTGGTACACTGATAACAAAGCGTCCTAACTTCATTAGCAAATACTGCTCCATGAATCTCTCTTTCCTCACACACAGAGGAAGGAATGGCAACCGTTACCATCAGTCAGTCGGTACTGATTGACACATCCTCTTCATGTGGTTGAGACACCAGTGCTTAATATTTTGAAAAGACATTCTTAGAAGTTTAAAAAGCTGAAAATGGATGGTCTGCTCAGACATAAAAGGGCCTACAGTTTGGCACATAATTTTATTTAGAACCTTTTAAAGAAAATCCATACCAGCTTCCATATGAGGGTCAAGTTGTAGTCAGTGCTCTTAAGTTGGCAAGCAGAACACAGGACAAACATTTAGCACCCTGCAAACATTTAGTGAAAATGGTTCACCTGCAACCTGCTACTTCTTTACCATTAAATCAATAGTACGACAAGGGAAGAATTTATTTAGCCCACCAAGTGTTGCAATATCGGGTTTATGCAGACATCAGTAAAAAGAGCCTAAGAAGAATGACACCAAAATAGAGACATTCATCCAGGCTTTGTAAATTAAGCCAAAAGATAACAAAATGAAAGGCAAATGATATGTATATTTCTTATTTTTAAAAAAGACGTACAAATTTGAGAAGTGATTTCCTTAAGAATGCTGTCTGGAGTGCTGGTCCAGATTATAAATCACACTTTACCCTGAAGCTGACGTAATAAAATAGAAGTTGAGAATAAACAAATGATTAGTTTGAGATATGTGTATTCCTGAACTCTCTTATGGGAGCAAGTTTTATTACCATTATTAGTGAACTGTGTTTAATCTGACATTAAAGCGTAGTTAACAACCCTGGGGTTCTAAAACCAGAATAACCCATAAATGAAGAACTGTAGGAAACCACAACATATTAACGTTAGTCTGTCAGGTTTTAGCCAATTCACAGGTGGACACCCTGAATAAAGAGAGGCACAGGGGAGGAATAGGGGCAAACAAAAGACCTAGGTTCAAGTTCAACTCCACCATTTATAGATGATATTGAGCAAATTGATCTAAATTGTCCCACTTCAGTCTACTTAACTGAGGGTTCAGGGATAAAATATGTAAGTGAAGCCCTTTACAAAGCCCAAAGTACTGTGCTAATATTAAAGCACTGAATCCAGGATGCCTGCATTTCTCAAACCCCTGGAGAGTCACAGAACTTTAGTTTTGAAAGGTAATTGCATTTTAGGGATGATAACAATGAGAAAACCAAGGTCCAGAAAGGCTTAAGAGCTCTGTACAGTCAACTGGTGGGGGGTGGGGAGGAGGCTTGGGCAGAGATTCTAGTTTTTCCACCAATGAAATATGTATTTAGACAGTTCAAAACAAAACTATCCTAGGGTTAAATCAAATCCCTCCCCAGGGTAGATAGCTAGCTACATAGATAGATGACAGATATACAAACAGACATGAACCCATACACGGTCCCAGTCTTATATTGGTTTGATACAATTTTGTGGATTTTATGATGGTGTGAAAGTGATACACATAATAAATTACATGAGCTATGCAGCAATTTATTATAAAATAGGCTTTTTGTTAGATGATTTTGCCCAACTGTAGGCTAATGTAAGTGTTCCTAGCATATTTAAGGTAGGCTAGGCTAAGCTATGATGTTCATGCTTGGTAGGTTAGGAGTATTACATGAATTTTTGACTTGTGATATTTTCAACTTATGTTGGGCTTATCGGGATGTAACCCCATCATTCAGTAGAGGCACATCTACATATCTGTATAAATCCTCTGCATTATTTTGCTTTTGGAAACTTTACTTCCGTAACTTAAAACTTAAACTAAACTTTTCAGCAGAAAGATAAAAATAAAGCCATTTCTGTAGCTATGAGACTCATAGCCTACTTTTAACCAAACCCAGACAAAACCTTCACAATTGGGTTAGAAATGTCTAATGGAAACATTGACATAACATTAACCTCCAGCTACGTGGGCAGGCATCATTATAATATGGATTATGTTCTACCAGCCCAGGGATACTGGTTTTAATGTTCGCCGGGAGATAAAGAATTAATCAGAAATTTAGAAGGGAATGTCGCCTTTTAAAAGGACACTTAATGGAGACAATTCCATTGACTTTAAAATTGTGCCCTCAATCACCCAGTGTCAAAAACCCACTATGGCACCAAAGAAATTGTGTGTGGTTAAAGAGACAAAATGTTCTTTTTTCTACCGGCTGTTATGGGAAGCAGAAAAGGGCTGACTATGAATCAGTTATGTTTTAGTTCCACCGTGGACACAAATTATGATAATTTGGACATTCTGGTGGTTAAACCAAGAAAGCAGGAAAACCATAGCTTCCAAGTCCCCGCAAAAGTTGTTTGTGGCAACCCAGCTGAAAGACAGGGCCATGAAAAGTGACTTTAAACTTAATTCTGGACTTTCCTGCCTCCACTAAAATCGATGACACTATTTCCCATCCCTTATTGTCAAATCACAACAGTCCGGAAGCCTGGACCCAGTTCACTTGGCAGGTAACAGGAGCAACCCTAGGAGGAAGTCCTGAAGGATGTTAGATACCGTATTTCCTTTTCTCCTGCATACTTTTCATCTTAATACCGCCAGGATATGTTTACCATGCATTCTGACTGACAATCACCAAGCATTCTGGCTGACACAAACTTTGCAAAAAATGGCATACTCTAGGGAAGGTCCCTTGTGAGATCCTTAAAGGAGCTTAGATGAGTAAAACATTCAGACTACTACTATAATGAGCATCTCTCAGTCCCTCATAAATGCTTTCATTCCCAGCAATCAAGAAGCAGCTGTTAAAACCCAGGCATGAAAATACCTCCAAGCTGGCCAGGGAGCCTTCGCAACTGCTTTCTTCTCCTTCCCCTCCCCCATTCCAGGAGTGCCAGCCTGGCAGGAATAAAGATGACCCAGGAAGGAAAAAAAGAGAGAGCAGCCGATCTGGTGAAGGCAGAGATGCAGGCTCCCTTAATTTCCACCACGGAGAAACACTAACTCTCTGTACCAACTAACCAGGTTTCTCTTTTCCTCTCCCATGCCCACCCCCTCCAAACACATTATTAACTTCTGCAGTCTGGCGGTCTGGTATTTCCAGAGTTAGCGACCTCAGCGGTCCTAAGCCCTTTCCTCAAAGATTTTGAACCAGGCACTGCCTTTCCGTGCCCGAGCTTGAGGCCCATCCCACGGGAAGATTCAGCTTCTCTGTCCCTTGTAACCCGCTCAGACCGCGCTGCAGCTCGGGTCAAGTTCAAGATGAAGGTGCCCTCCTAACCTCTCTGAGCCGACTCCAACAGGGTACAGCGCTACCGAGACGAGTCCCATCACTTCAGGAACGGGGATCTAGGGCTACCAAGAGTGGCCTGGAGGGAGTTGGGAGGGGAAGACTACAGTCTCTCAGCCCCGCGTCCTCCGACCCCCTGCCCACAGCGCCTTATTTCTACCTGGCCACCGCCGCATTTCCTCCCGGAGCCTTATACAATAAGTCAAGTAAGTTTTGAAAACGCCTGTCCAGAGACATTTCTGTCTGCAAACACAACGCACAATACCTAGGGCTTCCTTCCTAGCCAGCCTTCCGGAAAGCTGCCGCGCCAAAGCCGGGAGCCCCGCACACCCCCCAGCATTGTTCGCCTGCACCCCAAAGTCCTTCAGGAAGACGGTGCGCCCTGACATAAGTACTCACAAAGTGACCGCTCTCCACTCTCCAAATAACAGGGGGAATTCACAATCTTGATACAATTCTCGTCTTTCTCAGCTCCCCCTCAATATCTAATCCTACCTGCCCCCCCCCCAAGAAACATGGATATGCTAATCGCAGTGTTCTTGGAAGCGCAGCAATCGACTTTCAGCCCAGACTGGGGCATTACGACATCACCCTCCTCTGGCTTAAGTTCACCCGGCAACTTCGCGACCCGCGCTCCCTTACACTCCAGGGTCACCCTGGACCCCGCGGTGCCGGGCGCGCCTCTCCCCCGCCTCCCCGCCCCAGGTACCAGGCGCAGCCCAGGCCCTTGCCAAGCCCGAGGGCTACAGAGGAGGCGAGAAAAGGGGCGAGGAGGCCGGGTGGGAGACGGGGGGGTGCGCGCCCCGGGTGCCCTCGAATCCCAGCTCCTCTGGGGGCCGGTTCGGTACAGCTAGGAGGAGATGGCGAAGGGAAAGCGCAGACTCTCCAGAGCCGCCAGGACCAAGGCCCGGGGTGCCCAACATGTCTGTGCCTATCCCCGGAAAGCTCCCGGGTGTGCTCAGCGGGGGGTGGGGGAGGCTCCAGAAACTTTCCCACATGCCTTTCCACTCTCCCCATCACCCTCTTCTCTTCCCCGGGACCCTCTCCACCCCTCTGCTCCGCTGCAGCTGGCTGTACCCCGGGCGCACGGAGGCCCGCTGCGGCGCCAGGGCGGCGGGAGTTACCTGCTGGGAAAGTTTCCAGCTCCTCGGCGCGATTCCCCACCCCCAGGGCTGGGCCTCCGGGCGCAGCCAGCTCGGCGCTCTGCCGCTGCCTCTCCTCCAGCTTCCGAGGCGGCCGCTGCTCCTGCAGCTGCCACAGCTAAGGCTGCGATCCCGCCCGTCCCCCCGCCTCGCACGGCCCACACCGGGGCCTCATTGGCAGCCCGAATCCCCGCCCTTGCGCGTGTTCCCGAAGGCACCTTCCTCTCGCGCGCCCGCCCGCCCGGGCCTCGCCTCCTGCGCCCCTCCCCGCCCCGGGCCGCGGCGGCTCCGAGACCGGCTGGAGCGCGGCGCTCGAACTTTCCGCGGGGTGCAGGCGCGGCGCCTCCCTGCTCTGCCTTTCCCGGCCAGGTCCCCAGCTTCCCCCAAGGGGGCTAGTCCCTCGAGGCTGAGTTTGGGCCACTCCCGGACTGGATCAAGATGGGTGATAGTCTTTTTTTCAATCTCTTTAAAATCAGTGAAGTGACCCGACCTCCCCTGCTTGCTGCTTTTTAAAAACAACCGAAGAGGACATATGGGAGCAATTAACCAAGCTGAAGTTTTGGTGGATTCTTTAGGGTGACTTGTGTGTCTGTCTTGAATTTTCTCTGCCTTACTTGACTACACA